TCCATCCATCGAAACTTCTACGAAATTATATTTAAACGCAGCACGACACACACACACATGCAAACGACCCTAATGTGTCCCATGCCAATGTTTTAGTGCCACACATCTCCGGCAGATATACATATGTCCCCTACTCATCATGACGTCTCATACGGTTGAGCAAATGTTGCAAGTTACTTGCAAGGAAGAAACCTAACTTCTGGAATGAAGCAAAACCGATTGAATACGAGTTGGTTTGGAGCTGAGTACAAAAAAAGTGTTAGACCACATGTTATGTCAACAATGGTTGTCGCTATAGAGCATGCGGCGATACTGTAAATATGTGCTTCCCAGGGCGTCCCACCCTTAAACTTTAGACTGTGAAACCTTACAAACCTGTAAACCTTAAGCCGCTACTTGCTATATACGAGTTTTGCATCGGCTTCACTCTGAGTGCACAGTACTGGCGGCTGCGGCATGCCGGGACGCCAATTAATCGAACAAATACGAGTAGCTTCAGAGTTGCACCTTGTTTTTTCGACACCGGACCTTTTCAAAAGTCGAATGGATTCAGAGTCACCCCTCGTTTTTTTGGCAGCCCTTGGGGGGCCGTTGGAGTGGGAGACCGCTACCTCCGGGTCTGCGCCGCCACCTTCGCGAGATCCCGCCATCTCTGGTGTCACTTTCTGCTGCCGCTGCCACTTTAGCATGCGGCCCAGCTTGCGCTCGACACCATGTGCTCGCTCCGGCGAGCCGCGGCCAGGCGCCGACTTTGGGCTTTTCAACCTGCTATACGGCGCAAGCATCGCGACACCTGCCCCGAGCCGAGCTGTCGTGCTCGTCGCCACGCTGCCACCTTGTCGTTCTCGCTGTCGAGAGTGGTTGCGGTTCCTTGCCTTACGTCTCCCAATGGAGCGGCATCGCTGCCGTAGCAGCGCAGCGGGCTCTCGCCAGCTCGTTGCTTGAGCTCCGTCTCGACACAACCGCCTGTGTTCCCGGTGAGCCGGCTGCGCTGCGCACGACGTCTAAAATTTTTTTCGCGTCTACAACGATGAGCCGTACATACCGTATTTTACAATGTTTTTTTTGGCATCGAACTTTTCGAGCTGCCGAGCGAAAGCGGTTGCAGCCGCGGTCGCAGCTGACTAGGCTACCCGACAAAGGAATATAAAGATGCTGAATTTTAAGCACGAGCTTGATATTTGAACATATCCTGATATTTTACACATGACCTTCAGGGTTTGTAGACACGATTTTTTAAAAAAATATGAATTTTTAACACGAGCTGAACTTATTCACACGGATACACATGCATCGCAGCAATGCAATCTTATGGTCATCAAAATTGAAATTAAAAAAAGCATGTTTACACGCGATTGGACATGTCAGAAACATGTTTCGAAAGGTTGCGGTGTGGAGAAGCTGATCGGCCCGACCAGACCGTGCAAGTGCACTCAAAGACAAACCCCTGCCAGGTCAAGATCATCGAATCAACACAATGTAGCCAGCAAGCAGCTTCCGTTTGAGATACACAAAAGACACAAAGTTTCCTTTACTAGTAGAGTCACACGGCTAGCAGGTCGGCCCGCCGTAGTCTGCAGCCTTGTGCACCGGGACCGCTTTTTCTTCTGGTAAAAAGGTGCGTAAAAAACAAAATTTTCCAACGTGGGTCTTATTCCAAGATGCGGTTTACGATTCTAGGGCCTGAAATGCCCCAAACCATTGCAACCGCAGCAGGACTTGGGGGAACAGGCTTGCCAAATTTGTTTGGCCTCGCGGTTCGTGGATTCGTCGCAGTATACCCAAAAAGCCGGCGGAACGCCTCCGCTCTCAACGTGCTCTGGCATGTGCAAGAAGTGGCATCATCGTCAGCCCTGTGACGCGGGCGGGTGCGGCGCAGCCTGGAGCAGACGTGCACCCCGGGCGAGCGGTCGATGCAGCCGCCCGACGCAAACGTCACCAGACCTACCCCGAGCTTGTGCGCGCTCGTCGCTGCCGCTTGGTGGTAGTTGGTGTCGAGGTTGGGGGCCGGTTTGGCGCAGAAGCGGCCACCTGGCTCCGGTTGCTCGCCGGGCAGCGTGCCTCCGACGTGCAGGCTACTATGCGGGCGGCCGCGCGAACGTCGTGGGTTGCCGTTGGTCGGGGCTCCTCGCAGTAGCAGCACAGCGCGCCGTCGCAGCTTCCCTGTTGGAGCTCCCGCTCGCGGGCGAGTGTAACGTTGCCGGGGAGCCGCCGGATCTGCACGAGGTCCTCGCCGACGTGCGGTGGCAGCTTCCGCCTGTGGGCAGCCGCCAGGTGCCTAGCTAGTGCCTTGGTGTGTGCGCTTCCGTAGGGCCAGGTAGGCACTTCCGTTTGGGACTTTGGGCTGCCGGAAAAAGGTCCGCGAAAAAAAAAAGAAGTGGTGAAATTGCGGGTAGTTCGTCGGTGAAGTAATACTTACAGCAAGGGTGCAACGGATGTGACAACAGCACAGCCAGCACAGCAACAGCACACTCTTGTTTTCAAACCAGGGCCAATCTCGTCCAAGAGTTGGTTTACTTTACGACGGTCTGGCTGTTTCGCCAAAAAAAGCAATTCTTCCAGAATGGCCATTGCTTGGCATTTCTTGTGCAAAAACGCCTGGTTGCTTGTTCTGTGCTACTTTGTCAAAACGTACAGCAAATTCGTTACAGAGCCGGAAGGTGCTGTCACTGTCGCGGATTTCATAATAGTTCGTAGTCGCAGTTCATATCCGACTTCTGGTTTGTTTGGAAACTGGTGGAGCCATGCGTTTTTGCTTGCTTATGTGATCATGTATTCCATTCTGCGACACACATGGAACTGACATGCAAAAGGAGCGGAATCTAGCGCCGCGTGTACGTTTTTGGGGATGAAGCAAGCAATATACAAAGGACTGTCAAGACAAACCAGAGCTGGGAAAACAGCTTGAAGTCCCAAGATTGTGGAATGCTGAAAGGAAAAGTTGAGCCATTTTGCGGTAACGTGCAGTATGCAGTGAAGCACTGCCCGCTGTGTTGATCAAGAATGCAGTTAACTGCTGACGAGCCCCAATCACAGTACAACAAATCAGAAAAGTTTAGCAGCCACCATCTCGTTCTAGGATTTTGAGTTTAGCAAGTACTGTTTTGTTTTTTCACGGTTTTAGGTTTGCCAGCCATCATCCGTTTTTTGGAGTTTAGAAGAATCTGTGGGCTTGAGATGTTATAAGGCTAAAAACATAGTTCTTGAATTGTACCTTTTCAATTTTTGTGAATTTACTGTTTATGGTTTCCCTGGGAAGGCCTCAGCCTGACTGAGCCTTGCTTGTTTCAACATTGCTGTGTGGCTTCTTTCAGAATTATGTTTCCAAACGTAGAGCTATATACCCGAAATGTGATTTTCCTGCAATCGCTTTATTTGATTCGATTTGCTTGTTTTTTTCCACACACCTTTTTACGGCAGCAGTGTACGAAACGTCCCGGTGTGAGCTGCGTGCTACGACTACCTTTACCGGCAGGGCCCAACGCAGTCGGCCTGAGGCCGTCAGCGCGCCTCAACGAGGAGCTCGTGCAGCTCTGGCTCGGGCCCACCCCCCAGGTCACCGGCGGGAGGCAACTCAAGGAGACAGGCGGCCAGGGCGCGCTGCGCGGCGACTGCGAGGAGGCCAGACCAACGCGCGACCCAGGCAGTGATCGCGGTGGGTCGCAGCATGGTGGGGACGGCGGCGGCCCGGTGCCGCGCCAAGAGGCGCAGGAATTGCACAACTTCGGAGCAAAACTTGCCGCCAACTTGAGTACCAATGACGACGAGGCGGCATCTCCGGGCTCTGCCGAGTTCAAGGTACGTGCTGTGGCGCTTGCGCCGGGCTGCGGCTTGGACAGCGCAGCCCGGCTGCGTGTCTGCACGGGGCTGGGCTTCGCCCTGCCGCGTTAGGGGGGACACTATCGTGGCATCAAGGGCAAGCTGGGACCCGTGCCACAGCGGCAGGCCGTTGGCGACGACTTCGATGCGCCGCTCATCGGCGATGGGCGCATCGAGATTCATGTCGGCGAGTCGGACGTTGCGCGCGACTCTGGCACCTGCTTCTCGGCAAACACGGGTATCCCAGTCCGGTGCATCGTAGCCGGCCTGTCGCAGGTGTGTTAGCGCAGCAACTGCGGCGGCAGCGGAGGGGAGGGCGGCGTCGCGTCGCAGGGCTTGGAGGAGTCTTGCGGCAGCTGCCGGCGCCCGTGCAGTGATGACAGCAAGCGTGTTTTGCCAGGATGCCCGGTGTGCGGCACTATTTTTTCCATCGCCACGGTTCGGTTCACAGCTACGACCGAAGCTCCTGCACTACGGCCGGAGCGGCAGGAGGCTCCATTGAACGCCGTTGCGAGAGCAACCGATGGTGCAGCGATCAGTGGAAACTTTGCACGTGCGTTGGATTCAAACAAGCTCCTGCTTGGCACAGGGCGCGAGTTCCGCACGTGCGCACGGTCACCCTGCTGCCATCGTTGCGGGCGGTCGAGCGTGACAACCGCCACGGCTTATCGTTGCAGTGTGCCACTGCTTCCAAAGCTATGCGAATGCAAGGGCCTGACACGAGCTGTGGCGGGCAGCAGCCAGACGATGGTGCAGTGTTGGCGCTTCGGGCCGACTGTAAATAGATGCTCGGGCTTGATCTTGTGAAGCTGCCGCAGCATCCACAGCGACCCTATGCTCCGGGCATCTCCGGGCAGTAAGTGGGATGGAAGATTTGCTGTTCGGCGACCCCGCAAACTGCACACCAGGCACGAGTTTTGCGTTAGCGTCCATGCGGAAGCAGATGCGTCTATGAGGACCGGCTGGCGCTGGAGAGCATTCGGTTCCAGTCGCAAAACCAAGCACCGTGTGCGGAAACTTTGCGGGTGGGTGGCAAAAGAAGGTCGTGAGGTTACATCTTACGCGTACAAAATTGAAAATCTACGACAAGAAGTCGCTGCTCCAAACCCGTCGGGGGATCCATGTGAACATACAGCGTGTTGGTCCACGAATCTCCATGCTTGAAAGGTGGTGGTCCTGCCATGAGTTCGATTACTCGGTACTATGAGGCCGGCAAGTTTGGTTGGACAACACTCGTGAAAATAACTTCTTGGTTTATTGTGTGGCCAGGCCTGCTGGGAGTCGTGGCCGGGTACTGCAAGATGGTGTATGTACTTCGGCTGCATGTTCCAGATTTGAACCCCCTAAACCCTAAACCCTGTAAACCCTAAACCCTGTAAACCTTGCCCTGAACTCCCAGAACCCTAAACCCTAAACCAAAAACCCCGTAAACCCCTGAACCCCGTAAACCCCTGAACCCCTGAACGGTGCTGCTCCTGCCGAAAGTGGTTTATCATATATACAACGTCGGGACTGCAGAAGGTTGTCCGGGATGCCAAGCTTTAGGTCCTGCATTACGGCCTTCTTTCCCCAACTTCGAAGTTGCCGTGCTTAGGAAGGCAATGCGGCACACAAGATGCCTGCTTCCAGTTGTGATGAAAACTTAAAACCCTTTGCTAGGACGAAATGCAGAAAGTCCAGCCCCACAAGCCCCTAAACACCATTGTCCCGGGTGGTTTTTGTTTAAGCCAAGCTTTCCAGAATTCCCGCAAGCAACCCTAGCTGCAGGAGATTCACTTATGCGCAAATTTGGGGAAGCGTGTTTGGACATCTATTTTTCCATGTTGGTCCGCGCCTTTTGAACCCGAACGAGGCGCGGTTGCTGGTCGAATGTTTGGGAAGCTTTGCAAGTGATGAGCTTGCAGAGTTTCAGCGCATGTTCAAGATGTCCAGTGCTTCCTAGGATTCCGTCGTTTTGAGAGTGAATCCACACCAGGACGAGATCGAGCTATTCCGTACAACTAGCTATGTTCTCATTGCGCCCGTAGGACTGCCACCGGGTTGACAATGGTTTTTGCTCAAAAACACTTGACACCATGAGTGCCGCATGACATGGGGTGAAGGCACCTTTTGCTGCAACGGCTTAGGGCTGGAGGGGTTTACCAACATCTTTTGTGATGCATTTCGAGTTGCAGGACTTCTGGCGCTATTTCATATCGTGGAGTTTTCGAAGCCTCGGCCTCGAATGCGCGCCCTACTCATGGCCCGCGTGTCCATCTTCGAGTTCTGCATCAAAATCACGTATTATTCCATGCTCTCCACCGGTACAGAGCTGGCCTGGCAAAACATGCGTTGCTACGATGTGCGGCCGATCTACCTGCCGCGTTGGACGGGATGGACGTTTGCTATACCGACTCTTCTTACCATGCTGCTCGGCTTGTGCTCTGCTTGAGCTCTGCACGACTTGATCGCATGACCACAAGAGAAACGGAGTTAGAGGGGCTGGCGTTACTAGTCGCACAGCTCGCTGCAGGAATTTTTATCCCATCTTGGATGACCGCACCTTTGTGCAGGTGGGAATGCAGTGCTTGATGCAGCTTAGATGTGAACATGAACGCAAGGATTCGGGCTTGGCCTCTTCAGCACTCGAACGAGTCAGCATGCGAGTGCGTAGGATGGGGTGAGGCTGGAGGTGTTGGACAGGAAGGAGTTTTCAGCAGAGCTGCCACTTGGAGGATCATGGGACTTAGTAACTATGGTTTTAACTCCCTTAGCTCCCTTAATTGGGGTTATAAGCAATTATAAGTATTAATTACTCCAATAATACTCCCAGTTACTAAGTCCCATGATCCTTTAAGCAAGCCCAGTTTCATCTTCGACCCGTGCCTCGTGCGCAGGGGCTGCAGCGCATCTTCCCGCAGTTAGCATGTACTGCAGCTTACTGTTGGGCTTGCTTCGTCGGCTGTGTGATCACGGATCCCTGGTACGGTTGGCAACTTGCTCGGCAAAAGAGGATGCTCAGAGAGGTTTGAGTGTGTTTTCGTCTGGCCTTTCCCCTTGGGCTAACGGCGATTGCAACTCTTCGTGTTTGGGCTTCTTGAAGGTGGGAGGTGACAACCCACAGACAATTGCCATTCGATAGTAAAAGGAGTCCGACAGAGCCGATTTCTCCGAGAGGGACGAACCAAGAAGAAACAAGACAGAGAGCGAAGGAGAGCAAGTGACAGATCAACAGAAGTAGTTGCACCATTTACAGTCAACATAAGCAGCTGCACAATTTACAGCAAGCCGAATAGTGATGATGTCTTGCCGCGGCGGATTGTTTTTTGGAGCATGCCCTCTTGGAAGGTACTTGAACATCCTGGCGTGCGCCGCATGGACTGCAACCAGCTCGATGACACCCGGTTTTAGGAGCATTCGCTTTGGGCTGTACAGCTGGCCACCACCGACAACACTCAAATCTCCAGCTCAGCCTTGAACCCTACCCCTATAATTATAAGCCTGAACGCGAGAAGCACAAACCCGAACAGAACACAACATTATGCAGTTCGCCCAGGTGGCCTACTGCGCAATTATAGTGGACTGCGTGGTGATCACGGCAGAGCGTATCGTGTACTTCGGCTTGGCAAATGATGTCTGCGTACCGGGCTAAGACGAGGACTGGCAGGAGCAGCCAGTGTTGATCCCGACAACCATGAGAGCCGTCATTGTTTTGGCTCACAGCTTTCCTGCTTCGGCTGGTCTTTTGTAATTTCGGGGGAACAGTATCATGATCGAAAAGCATTCGTTGTTCCCTCGTGTGTACCAGCACATTCATGGGCAGGATCGCAGTAAGATTTTGGTTAGTTAGATGTTTCATAGTCTACTTGTAACTTCGGATTTGCTGGCAGCCTTTAAATCAGGCTGCATGGGGCTAAATATAAAAGGACACTTTCGACGTCTATGACCCCGCATCGGCCAAAAGTTGTAAAACCGTTTGAAGCCAAAGATGTTCACGTAGTTGAACATAATTGAACGTCCCCAACCGGTGTCAGTGTGTGTCGTCAATTTCGATTGTCATTCCCGTTCGGATGAAGTTACTGACCATCTCAGCGTTTTGGGCAAGCATGCTTAAACTGTCTCTTGCAAACATTGGCACATGTTTCGGAACAAGCATCTGAGACATGTCTTGAGAGCTTTACAACAGAACATTGCCCATCACACGTGACCGCCGCTCGTCTGTGGAAGTGTCCCTGCATTATTGTGTGTCAAGCTTGTGCATGAATGCTTACTTGGTGTTTTGTTATCGTTTGGAAGGGCTGTTGGCTTCTTTGTTTATTCGGCTCCTTGGCATTCTGGCGACTTGTCTGCGTAGCGGCGTTCTGTTGCGGATCCCCACAAGAGCACGGCTTGCTTGTAAGCACGACCGCCATAGGAGCATGGCTCAGCAGGTTAGATTCTCTTGAGCCCGAAAGCCTTAAACCCTAGTGCTCTTAATGCCCTAGATCTTGAGAGCTTCAAATCCTAACCCCCCGAACATCCCCAAACCTGAGCCCCTTGAAACCCATTCTCAGGGTTGTGCCCAGAGACTCCAAATTTCATTAATTAGGGGAATATGCCCTCGGCAGAACGAAAGGGAAAGTCTTAGGATTCTTATTTCACTCAGTAAAAAATCTTTCAGACAATTCCTCAATCAAAGGCTGTTCGCGATTCTGAGAGAGCGGGCAGGTCGGGGGTTTGTGATGGGCCGCAGTACCATGGGCTCTCGTTGTCGTATAGGTATTTATGGATTTCCAGGTGTTTTGCTTGACCGGACTTGTAGGCGTTTCATTCTGCACATGCGAAACTAAATTCCACACCATACAATCACGCACGCGTACTTTTGCCTGTGCACATATGCAATATATTTATACATGTACATTCGTTGAGCATGGGAGTCCGTGATCACGTTTACGAGGAACCACCACGATGGAGCATGTGTGGGTGTTTGGGGTCTAGGAATTTGGGTTTGATTTGACAGATCAATTTGGATCACGGGATTAAGGACATATTTGGTACCGGCAGTGCCCTCACCGTGGTTCGCCGGCTGGCCCTAAATCCTGACCCTTGAACCTTGCTTGTCCAAGTGTGAGTGTCAAAAACACCCTAAATCATCATTAAGCCTTATACACTCAAGCAACCTGCTCACTTCGATCAAGTTTCGTTGGGATTCTGTGCCACGACACCGAATGGGTTCTTCTACGCCAAGTCATGTTCCACTTCGCGGCGCAAACCTGAAACTCCAGACCTCAAGCCCAAAGCCTGGGTTTAGGGTTTAGGGTTCACTTGAGTGCCGCATCGAAGTTCACAACAAGCTGGCAGCTGCAGGCACACAGACCAGCCCATTCTCAAGGGCTACAGCATCATCGTCAAAGAATGCGTGTGCCTTTGCATGTATTTATGGAAGTTTCCCACCAGAAGTAGGGGTACCCTATTTTGGGGTCCTTTATAATGAGGATCCGACTATCTAGGGTACTATATTTATTAGGGTCCCCGATTTTCGGAAACTCCGAGGTGTCTGTGAATTCGAACGGCTTGGTTTTGGGCGGCTAAAGCTCCCAGGGTCTTTAGGGTAATACCCCCCGCAAACAATCTCAGAACAGCCTCTCGGGGGCTTTGTAATACCGATACTTTTTGGGGTTTCTGATTGAAAATCATAGTAGAATGGGCCCCACAACCCTATTCCAATTCTTAAGACCCCTATTTTATATGGTTTTCCAGGCAGGAGCGCGTAACTGTGAACTTACTCCAATCCCCTGAACTCTAAACCCTAAACCCTAAATCCCTAAACCCTAAACCCCCCATCCCCTGAATTCTACGACCTCAAGTCGCCTGCCCTCCCAAAGGAGAAGCCTGGAGAAGGTAGTCGGAGACTTTGCGAGGGTTTAGGCTTCAGGGTTGTGTTCGATCCTTTAGTAGCCACGAGTGCTGCTGGAGGGTTTACGCGCTGTCTTGTGCATTTTCCCGGCTGATTGCAAGAGTCCTGGATGCAAAAGGGTAATTTAATAGGGCTTATAGGGTTCGTAGAGCTGGTAGGGTTTAGGCTTTAGGGTTTAGGGCAATGGAGTTTAGGTTTATAGGGTTTAGGGTTTATAGGGCTTATAGGATTCGTAGGGTTTAGGGTTTAGGCTCGCCCTTTTCATGCGAGCATCTTTCTAGCCCTGCAGAGGGCGAGAAGCAAAATTGCTCTGCAGGGAAGGAGCGACTGTAAACAGGCCCAGGTGAGCGAACAGCGTGCAAGCACGACGCTTCAACCCCATCAATATAGGGGCCCTTAGTAATCACCCACACTATTTTGAAGGTTCCTTCCCATGATCATGGTATAAAATGCACCAAAACGTTATTCTAATTATTAAGGCCCTTAAACCCTGAATCCTAAACCTCAACCCCATTACCCCTAAATCTCAACTAGCCGACAATTCGGTTCATTCGGAGCTGGAGTGTGATTCTAGGGCTTCCCAGGACAGCCTTGAACAAGTGTGGCGGGATTGCAACATGGGTGGTTGTCAAAATCAGGTCCCTTTTTGGGTACCCTAAATAATAGGTGCCGTTCTATAGTAAGGACCCAAAAAGGGACACTAATATTGACAACCACCCACATGTACAGTTGCTCCTGCAGGCTTCGGGCAGCCCATCTAGGAATCCTTTGCAGAACGCCGGTCCTTCAAGGAAACTGGTAAAGCGAAGTGAAGTTTGGGCTTAGGGTTGAAGGAAACCCTGCCCAGGTTCATCATCTACACTTGCGTTTGGCTGATGGGCAACTGGGGCTTTGCCAGCTCTTACGCCTGCCAGCGGTTTTACTGTGTCTCTCGGCTTGCATTCGGAAGCCCTGTACCTTGAAGCATGGCCAGCAGACGGCTCGACATGCATCCGAAGCCCTCAATCCTAATGCTTCAACCCGAAGCCAAATCAAGAAGCTTCATAAGCCCCCAAACCTACAAGGCCTCAGGTTACAATTACTAAGCTTTGAGCCCTTCATAGAACCCATAGGAGGCTCTGTCGCACGACCTTCATCCCAGAGGCACCAGTCACGCCAAGTCACCATCACATTTCGCGAAATTGAGCCCACTCTGTGTCAGTTCCATCTTTGTTAATACTATGTAGACTATGCCGTAGAGTGATCCGCGAGCAAGAAAGCCGGCAGATAGATCCCTCAGGTGTCCGATGCTTTGGCTGCATTTGGTACTTCCTTTTTCTTCCGGGCCTTTCTTCCTGAGGCTCTTACTAGGGCATGGGCTCTCGGGTTGGTTGTATAATGCACGTTGCGGACGCGATGGGCGACTGCACCCGAGTACCTGCGCACGTACGCTCGGGTACGCTCGAGTATGCTCGACGTGCATTCTCGTGTACGCTCTATGCTCGCGCATGCTCGAGTACCACTATATTGCAGCAGTTGTTGAAAACAAAGTCCATAGTCATCACTACAATAAAGCAGGGCAGCATAGAGGAAACATGATAATTAGACAATACTTTAAAATATACATAATTTTATACAAAACATGAAATACAATGGGCAATATTGTGGAACATATGTTGTTCTAGAGTTACTTATCCTACATGGCATAATGAATAAGTTTGAAAGTTGTCATACAAAGTGTTATACAGTATTAAAGTATAGAATGCAGATTTCATGGTCACGGCTCCGCGTCATGGTCACTGGTCCAGGATTCTCCCCCCCTGCTTGGTGTTCCCCTCGTGGGTGGTCGTGGTGCGGGTGCTGGGGTTTTAGGTTTGGCTTTTATTTTTTGAGTTTAGGGTTACTTGGAGGGGCAGGGGACTTAGTAAGTGGGGTTATAAGTAGGGTTATGAGTACCCTCAATGGGGTTACCCCAATTATAACCTCTAATAAAATACTCCACCATCGAAATCCCGAACCAAAAGCCTTGAACCCACACCTTCCAACCTTGAAGCCGAAAGCTCGGAAACTCACACGAAAAGCCTTGAGCCCCTCCTCCTGCCAACCCCTACCTATAAATCAAGTAAAAGCCGGCGGTTGCTTTTTTATTTTTCTTACTTTTTTTTATATAAAAAAAACACCTTCTGTTTTTTGAAGTATTCTATGGCTTTTTGGGCTTCGAGCTTGGTCTAGAGGAGTTGCACCAACGAAAGAAAACAAGCCGGTTTTGGCCCAGCCCATTGCCAGCCAATATTTCCAGACAGCCGGGTTCTTGGAATCAGCCGAATTCCTCTACACTTCTTGGAGCCAGACCCTGCTGACCCCAACAGCCGAGATGATATTGCTGGGGCCAACAACATGCGGGATGAAGGCCAAAGATGATGACATTGCCTGGGTCCCACCTGCTGCACCAGCTGCCCCTGCAGCGGCAGCACCACCACCACCAGCTCCGGCTGCCCCAGCAGATCAGAAACCTGCCCCGGACCGCAGCCCTGGAGAGCCATATGAATTCTGGACCCCAGACCAGCAAAGAGTTTGGCAGCTCTACCCGTTCAAGGTGGAATATGGAGTGCAGGGTTTGGTCCGCAACCTGGACATCCCGTGGCTTGCCATGTACGCGCACAGCGAGGCGGTGAAGGCCCGGAGACAGTAAATCAAGTGCCGCGGGCTCGAACTTTGGCGCACACTGCAAGGCGTGGCTGCTGCTCAAAGTGAAACGCCACAAGGAGGGCAAGGCCGGGATTGGAGGACTGCACAGTCACGTCTGGGCTGGCCGAACATAGCCCCCGGAGGCCTCGAAAGCCGGCAACGCCAAGGCCAAAGGAAAGGCGAAGGCTCGGCGACCGCCGGGCTGGAGTCGGCGCGTCTCGCTCCGTGCGCCAAGGCAAACGCCGAGGCGAAGAGAAAGGTGGAGGAGGTGGAGAAGAAGTTGGCCGAGCACGCCCAGCTGCTCGAGGCCTCCTGCACCGTCACCTGGTATTAGCGGTAGCGTTGACGGAATCCGACGTAGGGTGGCCTCGTGCACAGGCCAAAAAAAAACGGAAAGAGTCCGAGAACAAGCGCCGACGCGACTGCCTCGATGTATGTACTTGGAATGCCCGGTTTCTTATAAGTGGTTAACTTGGTTATGTACAGATAGCTAAAAGTTACTAACTAGTTAGCCTGTTTTATGTAACTCGTTATAACTAGTTAACTTGTTCCTCGAGTAAAGACTAATGTCAAGGAAGTTGTGGCACTCGTTGCAAAGAAAAGTGTGGCCAGGAGACGATGGAGCTCAACATAAAAAGGATTTGCAAGATGGGTATCACAGAAAAAATCGACAGACATGTCAAAGTCAACAGCCAAATGGCTTGGGTAAAAAACCTGCAAGACTGCATGCGAGCTCGGAAAAAAAAATATATATATATATATATGGTTCATGGCCACGGAGGCCGATGTGTATACCATGAAACATGTGCAGGTGCATGCAAGCAATCAAGGAAACACATGGCCACATGTATACAGGGCTTGAACCAATGCAGGGGCAAACAGTGCATGAAGATGTTGTTAGCCGAACTGGGCACGGGAGTACATGGAGTATGGCATGAGCACTTTGGCTGGTCCATGCTCTGGCTTCGTGAAAACCACTGCGAACATGATGGCCTGCACCGGAATGAAGCCGTGTCGGCCAGAGGGCTGGTACATGGCCACCCTGTGCTTCGGACGGGATTCCAGCATGTCCCAAGCATGGATGAGTGAAACCTGGGTGTTGAAAGCGTCAGCATGGAAAAGCACCTGGCCTACTTCCCATGTTCGGCTGTCCATGCTGTACACGACCACGTCGTGGCTATGGATCTGGGCTCCATGGGGCAACCTCGCAGCACTTGCCACTTGGGCCTCTGATGGTTTCTGGCTGAGGAAGGCAGCCATGGTGTTGAGTTCCGACGCCTTTGCCTTCTTGGCCTTGATGAAATGGATGCCTGCCGGGAAGAGGTTCGGCTCCTTCAATGCCTGCAGCTCGTCGGGCACGATGGCTTGCATGAGATGGAGCTCGAACTGCATCGTCTTCTGCAGTTTCGTCGCATGTGTGCTTATGGTTTTATGTTTCCGTTCTGCTGCAAAGCATGAAGGAAGATAACCATAGCGATGTAATGTGTCAGGCAAATGCAATGTCCAGTGCCACTTCCGGATGAGGCCGCATGGGCCCCATGTCTTGAAGGTGCTGATGGCCTGCTCGGCCGCATCAAGAAGGGATGCACGTGTCGTGGCCTGATGTTGGGCCCCTTCATGGACTTGGTCAGCGAAGGAGGCCATGGCAAGAAATGCAGTGCATGCTTCCGGACATATGTTTCGAGGCTCCAGAACCGAATGGACAAACTGCCTGATGGGTCCGTATATGGCCGCACACTCCGAGGCCATGCAGGAAAACTTCTCGGCTTTTTTGCCCTTGATGGCTCGCTTCTCGTCGAACAAGACCTTCAAATGGGTCATCTTCCATGCAGCTGGGAAAATGAAATGCTCAATGTAACCATGCAAAATTGCCACACATCAAGATGCTCACTCACATCTTGCAAGAAATGATGCAGGACCACCACCGCCGTTCCTTGAAACACACCATGCATGTAGTCATGACAAAATGTCGTGCATGGTCGAAGCAAAGATCGCTCCAGCAATGCTTCGTTCGTCAACAATGCTTTCTTGCTGAATGTGATGCCACATGCCTGCTCCCATTTCGTGAACTCCTTCTTGGTGCATGTGCCATGTTTTGCGGCCAGCCTTGCATAAGATGCCAAGACTTCATGGTCAGACACCAACCGGAGTTGACGGTATGTGGTGCATGAGGTATCTGTGAAAAGCTCGTCATCTGGCAATGGCTCTGGCATACCAGCATCGCCTTTCGAGCTCCACACAGCCTTATGAGCAGCTCCATCGCATATCATGGAGTTCCATGTCATGTGCAACCGAATGTCTTCTTGTGGGCCCATGGGATGCTTGAGGAGCAACCCTCCATGAGGAAGGTGGATCATGTCATTGCAAAAGATGGATTCAAGAATCATTGCCATGACCTGGGCGATGCCTCCATCTGCTTGCATGATGATGCTCGACCGGACTGTGCACAATGTGAACCAAAGCTGTTCATGGAATCCATGGTTCTCTCGCTGAGCATGGTTGTCAAATTCCATGATGGTTCCATATATGGTCCAGAACTTGCGATCAGCACGTCCTAAGACGTTCCCAGGCACCACTTCATCTGTGTAAAGTTGAAGGGACCATGGCCTCTCTGCTGTGCTTGGTTTTTGGGCATGTCTCCTTTGGAGCAATGCCGTAAATGATGGACACCCACGGTACATGTTGCACAACGACACCAACATGGATGTAAACCAGATCGTCCGGCTGCTCCCATCCATCATGGCCAATGAACCCTCCCGAAGCAATGGCCCCAAGCCGCCACCATGGGACTGCTGCAACAAATGAAGTCTTGCATTTCGTTGCTCTTTCGATGATGAGCATTCCGGAATCCCATGTGTCTTGCACCGTTGGACAATGGCGGCGAGTGCAGATTGGCTATGGGCCGGAAGGTTGCTCTGGAATGCCATCATGGCCTCCAATTTCTTGGCTCTCTTGTTTGCCCGGTCCATGGCTTCAAGCAAACAGCATGGACAAATTCAAAACATGGTGCTGTATATAGGCACATAAGATTGGTTACAGCACATGGTCGCCAAAAGAAGGGGCACCTTAAATCCATAAACCTTATATATGAACCCATAGTTAACAACATGTTTTATATATATACATATATAGATTATATATATCCGTATATATTTATATATATATATATATATATATTGAAATCACCTTGGGGCTTGTATACAATCATGATGGATGGCATCGCTTGTGTCACTCTCTCGCATCTATATCTATATCTATATACCTCTCTATCTAACTTTCTGCTTTCTACATATAA